CTGAATGGATAAATTAATGTTATCATCTGCATGAGGTAACCATACATCTCAATTTGCTGGAGACAGACCTTTAATCTGTTTTCCTGGTATAAATATTAACCCACCTCTTTTAATTCTCAAAAATGATCTGGATGATAACTTATATTGCTAACCTATCTAGGCAGTGGGAAATAATTAAATCCTGAGCAAGAATAGAAGATGATCAGACCCGAGTATTAGAAAGATCACTCTAGCAATAATATGACAATAAATAAAAAGACTCAAGGAAAAATTCAGGGGTGAAACGACAGAAGTGTGAACTAGGGTAGTACAGCTGGATAGGAAGAGGAAGAGAGAGATTCAAGATGTAAAATCAAACAAGATTTAGTGACCAGTTAGATATAGAGAGGAAGACAGCAGGGGGAATCAAGAGTAAAAACACTAATTTCTGGATTGAGCAACTGGGGCAGTCACCAGCAGAACATTAAAGAGGAGGAATGATGATGGTTTCAATTTGAGACTAGCGATTGAAGAACCTGGAGGACAATTTACTGGTTAGATATATGAATCTGAAGCACATGGAAGGTGGTAACATGCGCTATACAGCCTATAAAAATTAACTGAAGTCACCGTGCAGAATGAGACCACCCAGGATGTACAAAATCAGCAATTCTAATGAACAGAAGTATTATCTTTTTAACATGAGGACTTTAAAAAATTAATTCTAAATTTTGTTCTGTTTAACATATTTATTGATCATTTAATATGCACAAAACATGGTATTAAGCACTTAGAGACAGAAATATAAGAGAAATAAGGTGTTCACTCCGAGGTAAAAAAGAAAGATTACAGAGAAAGAATGGCACTGAGGGTTTCCCTGGTGGCGCAGTGGCTGAGAGTCCGCCTGCCAATGCAGGGGACGCAGGTTCGTGCCCTGGTCCAGGAGGATCCCACATGCCGCGGAGCGGCTGGGCCCGTGAGCCACGGCCGCTGAGCCTGCGCATCCGGAGCCTGTGCTCTGCAACGCGAGACGCCACAGCAGTGAGAGGCCCGCTTACCGCCCAAAAAAAAAAAAAAAAAAAAAAAAGAATGGCAATGAATATGGACTGAGTTGAGAAAAAGCCAAATTCAAGGTCTCAGTTTTGACTGTGGCATCTTTAATTTTGGCATAACGACTCAAAATGAGTACCTTAACAGCTTTTCTTGCTTTAGAGCACTTAGCTTCCCCCAGAGTATTTAAGTCTAAAATTTTCCATTAAAAAAAAAAAAGATCTTTGTAAGGTGGGAAAGGAAATCAGAGAACCAGCTCAGGAAAGATAATGTGCTGTGGAAGCTGAATCTACACAGTAGGAGAAATGGCCAGAAAAGTAAAAACTGTGTTAGAACACAGTTCTAAATGGCATACTTTACGCAAGTTTCCATTCTCAGTGTCTGGCTCACTAGGATTATGCTTGAGTTGATAGTTTCATGTAAGGACAACAGATGGGTCAAAATAAAAGAACCATTAATTTTGTCCCAGAAACAAACAGAAGAGTTCTTTATTCATTAATTATATGATGCAAACATCTGATTACAAGATTATAAGACACTGATTCTTATCTATTTGTATATTTTTTTATAATGCTTTGTACCCAGTACGTATTCAAGGAAAAATAAGCTGAATCAATGCTTTATCCCCTTCTATTACACACTTTATTGGCTTAGCTTCCAGGACAGCACCACTCTATCCTAGTTTTTCTTCTTCTGCACTGTTTGCTCCCATGCCTTCTCCTTTGCTGGTTTCTGCTCTTCTCCCCTGACCCTGTAGTGATCAAGTGCCCCAGGGCACTGTCTTTGGTCCTCTTCTATTCCCATGTACACTCACTACTTCGGTAATTTCATCTAGTCTCCTGACTTTCGACATTATCTGTAAGCTAATAACTATAAAATTTCTATTTCCAACCCAGCCTTCTCTTTAGAAATAATTATAAATTGTATACGCAACTCCTTACTTGACATTTCTAACAGACATTTCAAATGTGACATGTTCAAAACTGAATTTCTGATCCACTCCCCTCCCCAAAACTACTCCTCCTGCAGCTTTCCCAGTCTCTTTTTTTTTTTTTTTTTTTTTTTTTT